TTTTTTTTTTTTTTTTTTTTTGTACCAGGAATCAAACTCAGGACCTTGTGCTTGGGAGGTAGGTGCAGTGTCACAGAGCTAAATTCCCAAATAGATGACAGTTCTTACTGGTAGGTTGTAGAAGAATGAAATACACATTTTAAGTATTTTCTGTCGAGTTGAGGAGTATATGAGACAGAAAGGAAGGATACGGCCAGGTGTGGTGGTGCATGCCTGTAATCCCAGCTCTTGGGAGGCTGAGACAGGAGGATTGCTGCAAGTTCAAGGCCAGCCTGGGCTACATAGTGAGTTCAAGGCCAGCATGAATTACAGACCAAGACCCTGTCTAAAAAAAAGCAGAAAGGAAGAATGGAGAGGAATAGAGGTGCTCTGGATGACCCTGAGCTCTCTATTAAGATAACTTGCTGATTCATGCTGGTGGGAAGGGAAAGCACCAAGAAACAAGTGGGCAAAGGTTGAAGGTTGGAACTCAAGGGTTCCACGACAGTCCTTCCTCGCCTTGTACTTCTTTTTCCTTATATGTGCACTTATGAGTAGGCAGATGGCATGAAACAGGTTGGGAGAAGGCCCAATCCAGAGGTAAAAGTTGGAGGGTGCTGTCAACACAGACTATACTCTCTGGATACTGAATGTCTACCATGGGGAGTGTGGACTATACCCTAAGATTGGTGAGAACTGAAGAAGAGGATTCATTTAATACAGTTTGGCATTATGAGGGACACTGGTGACAGCATAAGGAATGATTTGGAATGTACAAAGTTTGCAGTTCAAAATAGAAATAAGGAACCACATGGATGGGAATCCAAGAGTCCTAATTCATAACCTCAATACTACTGGGCCCAGCGCAGTGGGGGCAAGAGATGACTCACAAAGTCTGAGCTATAGCAGATTGTGGCCAGTTGATTAGAGATGTCCATAGCCTGGTTCTCCAAAATGTCTACTCGAATCTTCTCCTCTTCTGTCTCCCCACCTACAGTCCACACAACAGAGTCTCACTTAGCATCTGACCCAGCCAAGCCCAGAGAGATGACCATGTACCCCCACACCCAGCCACCAGCCTTACTCACACATATTGTGCTTGCGGGCAATGTAGCGCAGGATGGCATTGCTCTGGGTGAGCTTGTGAGTCCCATCGATTAAGTAGGGCAGCTGCATGGACAGCCAGGAAAGGTCAGCTGAGACACCATGTCCTAGCACCCCTTCCCTGAGTTAGAACACACATGACACAGTGCATCTGCCCATGGCTAGCCCTGCACACAAATACTGTCGAATAAATGATCCTAGAAAGACAGGGCAGACATGAAGAATGTTGAGCAACAGCACTAATTCTGAAACCTCTAAGCAAGGAAAGGAGACGAGGTACGAATGACTTTACTTTCCCCAAACCATCCCAACCCCTCACCTACATTGGGAAAGTCCAGGCCCAGCTTGAACTTCTCATTCAGCCACTGGCTTCTGTCATAGTCGGGAGCTGTGGTGGAGAAGATGAAGTGAAAACAAACCTCTCTTAGAGTCCTTTGTTATTTCCCAAGGAGTCAGGGGCAAGAATCTTGAGACAGGGGCAAGGGGATTTAGCTCAGTGGTTCTACTGCCTGCCTTGCAAGCGCAGGGTCCTGAGTTCGATCCCTGACACACACACACACACACAAAAAAAAGGAATCTTGAGACAGTGGTTCTAGAATGTTAGCCACTGAGTCTGCTGCAAGGTAAAGTGTCCTCTTAATGGCTGTGGACCCAACAAGACGAGGATTTACAAAAGATTTATAGAAGTGCTAAGGAGGATCCGACCCAGTTCCAGAGAGAGAGGGGATGGACGTTCCACTCTTGGTGTCTGGCCTTGGGTGACCAAACTGCAACTTCACAGAGTTTTCTGAAAGGGGTGGGCTCTAGGGCCAGCTGGTAGAGGCCGCTGTAAGCAACAGGTGGCCAGGGCACGGGCTGCTGGGCACCAACCATCAGTACTGGGCAGGGGTCTGAGCAGGAGGGTGCTATTACCGTCCCCCATCGTGTATCTCTTCTCCTCGTAGCTGGTGTCTGTGTATTCCAGCAGCAGGCGGATGGCGTGAGCCAGCTGGGAGAGTCAGAGATGGAGACCCTGACTGTGAGACTTGTCTCCTTCAAGGGAGCCACTCACCCTCCGCCTAACAATCTCACAGGCAATCGCACACGCACACACAAACAGGTTTGCACATCTGTGAGATCCTGAGAGCTAACAGGGACAGGCAGAAGCCTCCAGCAGGTCTGAAAAGGATTCATCTGTTTCAGCCCGCCCCCAGCAGCCCGGCGCGCTCCCTCTAATCCCGGATGGAGCCCTAGCTCACCCCGCGGATGTCCCAGTAACCCAGAGTCGCGGGCATGGTGCTCGCGCTGTGGACTGAGCCAACTGCCCTCAGCAGCGCTGGGGTGTGACTTCGCCGTGTAGGCCCGTGAGAGCAGAGGGCCTCACAAGCCGAGAAGAGAACTGCTGCGCTCCCACCCGGCCAACCGGAAACAGAAATAACCCGGCCAGCGATTCCGCTGCGGGCGGAGCGGGAGGCTGCAGCGCGCCGGAGACCTCCCCGGAAGCGAAACAGTGGCTCTGCGCCGCCTCAACCTCCTCGCCGGGCTCGGCGGGGTTGGCGAGTACTTGTGGGTCGTGGGAGGTCCAGGCTGCCCGGCCAAGCTGTAAGCGGTGTCCTTAGTCGGGGACTTTTAAGCCTCTCTTCGTCCTACAAGTGATCCGGCCCGCCAGACTGGGCCCGGAGTTCGGAGTTGCAGAGGTCTGGGACTGGCAGGCAGCAGCTCCGGTTGCGGGAGCGAACACGGACCGCGATGTTCGGTCGCTGAGGGTGGCTGGTTGACGGCGTTGAGAGACTCTACAAACACGAGGTGTGCCGGGCCGCCCGAGTATAACGTTGCGCAGTGTTTTACAGTAAGTTTTTTTTTAATAAAAGTAGAAAAAAATATAGTCTAAAATAACGATAGAAAGTGTAGTAAACATATAAACTCGTAATAGAGCCATGTATTATCATTATTATGATGTACTGTACATAATTGTCTGTGCTATCCACTTTTTTTCCTGGTTTTGTTGTTTTTGAGATGGCTCTCACTTTGTTTCCCGTGCTGGACTTGAATTGCTGGGTTCAAGTGGTCCTCCCGCCTCAGCTTCCCAAGTATCTGGGACTACAGGCATGCACCCTAGTTGATTTATGTACTACCCTTTTTTTTTTTTTTTTTTGGGTACCGGGGATCAAACTCAGGTCCTTGCGCTTGCGAGGCAGTCACCAGAACCACTGAGCTAAATCCCCGGCCCTGTACTACCCTTTTGTACAGCTGGCAGCATAGGAGGCTGCCCACATGTCCAGCACCACAATTACATGAGTGCTGTGACACGCTGTGACATTAGGGAAGGCTACAGCATCACTAAATAATGGGAATTCTCTAGCTCTATTGTAATCTACAGGACCACCTCTGTACGGGGAGTTTGTCTTTGACCGAAATGTACTGGGTAAGTGTCATGTGACTGTTCTTAACCGTTCTCATCATATTGTAAGAGTTTGTCATTCTGAGTTTTATATTGATCTTGGAAAGAAAATTTTTCCTTTCTTTTTTAAAGCCAACAATTAGAATAAGTTTGAAAGACATCAGATACTGTTATATTAGTATTTATTTGTTTACTCTTTTATTGAAAAAACAATTGTTGAATTTCCACCACATACTAGGCAGTATGAATGAGGCAGTCCCCAAGAAGATTATTAAAAAGTAGAAGTCAGGTGGGAATTATAGAGCAAAGTTGTTGAAAATATAGAACACTTTTTAGTGTCTTCATACACTGAAAAAGAGGTTGAGTGCGAGAGAAGATGACCATGTGGTTGTTAAGAGAAAAACTTCAGACAAATTAATTCTAGTAGAGATTGAGTAAAGAATAATTCATGAATCAGACAGTACTTAGAACCAGGACAGATTCAGAGTGCCCCCTCCAGCCCCTACATCACCCCAGTAATGTGGGAAGACAGTAGCAATATTTCTAGTCAGAAAAAGGAAATGGCATACAAAACCAACTTGACTGGGTGCAGCAGAGCATTTGCTTTTATTTATTTATTATTATTTTTTTTTAAACTAGTACCTGGGGATTGAACTCAGGACCTTGCACTTGTGGGGTATGTGTGCCACCAAGCTAGATCCCTGGCCCCAGCACTTGCTTTTGATGGGCGTGGTCCTGTCAGCCTGTGATTGACTGAACCTGGACTACAGAGATTCAGCTACATCTTAAAAGAAGACACTCATTAGATTAGGGTGTAGTTTGCTATGTGTGGAGGCAGATTTAGGAGAAATTTTTTTCTTTCAATATATTTTAAAAATACATTTGTTTATAAATATAAAAACATACATGTTTTTCCCCTAACAATGTTGTGATAATAACTTTTAAAATAGCTGGAATATGATGACATTCATCACTGAGAATTTGTACCTGTACCTAATATATCTTGATTCTTATTTTTCCCCATGCCCCTGCCCTCCCTTCAACCCCCCACCCCTCCCTATTTACAAAGACTTTGTTTCTCTTTTTTCCTTTTCTCATATTTTTCCCTTTCCCTTCTTTCCTTTCCCCTACCCCTCCCTTTTCCCTTTCCCATTCCCCTTTGGACCTTTTATTCCTATTTCTCATTATCTATTATACATTTTGATCCTCATTTACACTTTCACACCAGAGAAACTATTCAGTATTTACACATTTGTCCTATTTATTTCACTTAAGAGTATGGCCACGATGACCTTGCTATTACTTTAAAAACACATTTTGACCTTTCTACAGAGTGTTGCCATCATGGAATTTAAACATTTTTTGCCTTTATTAGTACATGTTTGCAGTTGGTACATGTACATAACACATCTTAGTTCTTTTACTTCCCTTCTCTTTGCTCCCTCCCTCCCCGGAACAAATTTAACACTGGCCAGACCAAGGGCTCTAAAAAGCTGGGAAGATGTGCCCCAGAGTACAGGGCCCTTTGGGAGAATGGTTCTGCAGGTGGGTAAGGACTAGACTAGAAGGGTCTCACAGGCAGGCTTCCTAGGGCCACGAGGCTCATCTCCCTGTGTGACATGGGTTTCTGAAAGATGGCAGAGAATAGTCAAGATTAGGGAGACTGGGAAGTGATGCCCTGGATAATAAAGTGTGTTCTGTGATTGTTAGGTAGAATATTCTGCACATCTTTAGGTCTGATTAATTTATTGTTTTATTCAAGTACTCTCTTTCCTTGTTTATCTTCTGTCCAACTTCCCAATACTAAGAGTGGGTTATTGATACCTGACACTGCTATTGCAGAAGTGTTGGTTTCTTCCTTTGAGCCTGCCAGTTTCGGCTGTATATATCATGCTGTTTTATCCCCACCATGGGAGGTGTATCCTTTATGAAAAGACTCAGTTAAACCCCTGAAAGTTCTCCCAGATTACCTGTGCTTGCATCATTTGGGAAAGCTCTGGATATCCTTTTTACATAAACCTGACTTCCTGCTCTGATGATCGTTTTAAATATCTGGGAATCTCTAACAGGCAGTTGGAATCACAAGTTAATTGCCATCATGGGAGTGAGTCCCATTTGTGTCCCTTTAGACAAATTTAATTCCTTGAGTGGAATTAAACAATTCCTGCAAAGCAGGCTCAGATGTCTCTGATGAAAGTAAGCCGTGGCCACCAGAATAGCACTAAAATTAGTCCTAATTAATTGGCCTTGCTGATGGGATTATAATGATAGCAGGAGCATTAAAAGTTTTGCAAGAGTGAAGGTTGGAATTAATGATGTGAGGGAAACACAGTCACCACAAGGGACCTGTTAAAGGGAAGCTGCCTTCTGAAGTTTTTAAAAGAACAGCTATTAAATTTTTGCTAGGCCGGGCATCTAGCTCAGCTGTACGGTGGCCTGCCTTGCAAGCGTAAGGACCTGAGTTCAATCCCCGGTACAAAAAAAAAAAAAAAAAAAAAAATTTTGCCAGCAAGGTCAAGTGATGGTGACAGGTCTAGCAATTGTTAGATTCTGACTGGCAGCAACGGTCAGAATCTAACAGAAAAGATCATTTGTTTTCTCTTAGGTGGTAGTGGAGAATACAAGGAAGGGGATCAAAATAAAATGATCAAAGTAAGGGTGACGAAGTGGAGGCCTTCAAAGGGGAATAAATTAACAAGGAGGTGTGATAGGTCAGAAGAAGAGTTGAATCTGACTGTTAATCTCAATCCAAAGTCGGGCAGAAGGCATCCACCTCAGAACTCCGCATCTTTTGGAGGATTCCTGGGAATCTTGGTATAAGATTTCCAGTGGAATGGATATCCAGTAATCTGTAGGAAGGTTTTATCTTTTGAGCTGAGGTTTTTTTAACCTAAGAATTGCTACTTCCCCTGCTCTCAGTTATGAAGAGTTCCTGATAAAATTATTTTCACTGAGGCTCAAAGGGACAGTTTTTCTCAAGTCTCTTCCAGGACACTGAGTCTCCTGTTGAGGATCAGATGCGGTGGGCTGGCATTGCAGCTAGTATCTGTTGATGACAAACTGGCTACTACACAAGTACCTTGCAGTTTGTAATCCTGCTTGTGCTAACAGCATAGACTCTATGGGTGAAATTTTCAAACGTGTGCACTGCCCCCCAATTAAGTCATAAGGAAATATTCTGTGGACCCTGGGTGGGATGATTTTACACTCATTAAAGCTAGTGGAGATATTGTAAGCCACAGGAATTGAAGGGAGTTTGTTCATTTTTTCATTTTACAATTCCACTAGTTCCCTTTCTCCTGAGAAATGTGGATGATAAGAATGGGAAAGTTTTTGAAGTGAAAGACAAACTTTACGGAGTCCCTTAATAACAATACTAGTAAAATAAGTGTCTCTGACATTATTAGAGAGACAAATGGGAACTTTCAAGTTGAAAGACAAAAATCAAATCAAAAAATTATTTTTCACAGCTAGAGCTACACTCCCCAGCTAAGCTTTAACCCGCCCCAGGGGTTTGGGGTGGGGTAATAATCAGAATAGCTCTTCTACAATCTATTGCAGGAGGCCTTGTATAAAGTCCATTTCGAGATTAAAAGAGCTCTCAAGCCATTGGATCATGTCCATACTCTACATTTAGATGTACTAGAATCACACTGTTGACAGTAGGACGTGTCTTTAAAGCATCCTTAGTTACCTGTAAAACTACCTACCAGTATTGGTTTAATCTTGTCAATTTATATGCAATGAGCATCCAGAATTTTCCAGCTTCTGAGATTTTCCCTTTTCTGCATTTTTGAATCAGGGGTTTGGACAATTAAAAATAGCCTCTTTGAATTCCTCCAAGGCTTCTCTTTTCTCTGTAACTGTAGGACTATTATCTTGGTTAATGCTGCTTTGTACAGCATACTGATCAGCTAAGGCACCACTCTGAAGT